TGATGCTGCTTACGCTAATATGAACGATGCTTGAGTCCATATATAGCTGCTGACATTTGAGCTATTAACCGTTTCAACGTCTACTTCCATCTGCTACCAGAAATAATCCCAGTGGAATTAATGTATACTGCCTTTAAGCCACATGGTGAACTGGAGATGCATGGATTTAGACACTCACCTTAGCTATATAACTGTGGATACCTACTGATACTTCAAATCGTACAAATGGGCCCCTTGTGGTTAGCAAAACTAAAAACTGAAGGACCTTCTAGTGAATGGATGTTTATATTACTAAACAAGGAACTATGCAAATGGACTAACAGCGTCGTCTGGTCATGACGCAAACTTTGAACATTGCGCTCTCTTGTCGTTGATAGTGGAACCTATCTGCTTAATGACAGATGGAAATCCTGCCCGTCTCTTGATTTAAATAAGTTTATGCATACCAATAACTTGCTGTGTGAATTATATAATTCCAAATACTACCCTGTAAACTTTCGGAATTATCAGATTGACGGTGCTTGTGAACTGGTATCTGTCATGTTAAATCCATTATATGGGAATGGCAGTTTTTATAATCTTCACTTTGAAGCACTGCATATACTGAAAGTGGTACTTTCCTTGTCCCGTAACCGCGGTCAGATGTTTTTGACGGAGTTAAACGACCTCCCCTCTGTGCCATCCAGGACCCGCAAAGTCTTGTAGATTTTTCGACACATATCAACGTGATGGCGCCCGTAAAATAGCTTCACTCATGTTAAATTGCCAATGTGAGAATAAGAATTTATTATTATCATTATTAACGCTTTGATCTTTTCTAAGAATTCCTTTGGTGACTTGATGGAATGTCTACAGCTACAGCTATTCTCCACCATTTCAGGAGTGATATATTTTGGTAAGTCTTTCCCTATCCAGTACCTTGTTTGCTGAGTCCACTAAGTGTAATTAAGTCTGTGAAAAATTTTGTGAAGGTGTCATTTTGTTTTGGAATTGCATGTTAGATATCCGAACTGTTCAGAAGTCGTTTGGATTAAAGTGATGGTTATCCACAAAAGTAACGCCCATCGACAGTTGCTGAGGTAAGTCATTTAGTCTGTCCCTCTTGAACAAACAATAACTGCGGATGGGAGCCTCCATGCTATAAGCGCTGGAAGTACGTCAAGAGGTTTGAAACTTTTATACGGTGTGGATGTACTGATGGACTTACCGGAGGACCGAAAATATTTTGCATGGTTATATCTACTGTCAAAGCCACACTTTGGAGCAGGATTAAATGTTTTGGGGATTTCCCGCTCTCGACTATCCACTAAAATGTCTACGACGATGGAGTATGATGGTGCCAAACGCAATCTCCTATTCGCCTACCTGTTTTGTTCTGAAAATTAAAAACTGTATAAGTTTGGGATAGCTACACTTTCCTTCCCCGAAATCTGTAATCATATAAATGATTTGAAACTCCCTCCTGAACGCTCCACATTTAACCCCAGAGGACGGCTAGTACAGTAAAGAAACTACCATGATAATAACTGGGGGGACTTTCAGTTTTCACCAAGGTGTTTAGATCGGGAAAATTACTCCACCAGTACGTCTATTGCAGCACTAACAACTGTTTTTATCGTAACTTGTGCGGTAACGGTGACTATTCTGCACCCGAAAAGGACACAGTCTACGGCCCCGAAAACGCTGTTCATTCTGTTTCCCCTTCGAGGTCGGCTTTAAAATCATGCTACCCTTTGTCATAGACAACATGACTTTTCCTTACTAGCCATGATGTCTAACATTTGTGCTTATGCTGATTCTGCGCGTATATGAGAAGCCATCGGAAAAGAACGTCATGGTCTATCTTCCGGCAATGGAGAATCTCCAGCAAAGATTCTCAGGCCCAGCCTGAAACCATCTAAATCCAAAACGACAAAATGTATTGTTGGCAATGGTGCATGACGACCCTAAGCAAATTGTGCAGATCTTCAGTAACAGGTTGCTGCCTCGGTTGTAAATGAAAATAATGTATTCGGGTTCCACTGGTCGACGGTGCCTTCCTCTAGGATCGAAAACGTGAGGTTTGCGGGACAAGGTATTTCCATGGCAATTATCACTCTAAAACTTCGTTTTGCCGGCGGTCCAGATGAGATATCCGCTGTTGTCCTTGTTGTCCTATTCGATAACAACTTATCATCGACTTCGCCGCCTGGGTTCCCAAAAAAGCAGATCCTGTGACGCCTGCATACTATAGTATCTTGAATGTATCGCACAAAGGGGGCGATTAAGGCTTTTTTGTCGTGTTGTTTTTCGAATTCAAGGAGGCAGGCGCGGGAAACCCCTCACATAAGTGTTTCGAATCATTTCTTCATGAAAGTTCTTAGAGAGTCAAATTGAACGATTGCTTTTCAGGCCCCCGACTAACCACAAGTGGTGTGGTACAGGGTAGTGTTCTTGGTTCATTTCTCCTTCTCATGTGTATTAGTGACATATGCAAGGTGTTTGGATGTAGAAAACCATATCTTCATGCTGTTGGTTTTAAGATTGCTTACAGTTTTCAGTACGGCGCAATTAATGAAGGTCTGTCAGCGGCTGAAGCAAACTTGAATAATCCGCTTGGGTGGAGTCAGAGATGAAAACTCGGACTCAACTACGAAAAATGTGGGGTTCTATACCTCGGAAAGTATTACCCTAGCAGCGCACTACGCCTAGGAGATCGTAAAATTCAAATGCTCAATAAGGTAAGTGATTTGGGGGTCTGATATTCTGGTAACCTTAACTTCATTGAGCTTGTGACAGTTATCATCTCTGAAGCTAGAAGATTGTCAGGTTTCCTTCTGAAGAGTTTCTGTACAAAAGAGGCCAGACCTACTTCTGTTGTGTTAGACCAATGCTGGAATATGGCCAATTCGTTTTTCCTAGCATCAACAAAACTGACAAATCGTGAATTGTATATGTCCAGAGGAGTTTCACCAGACGATTGTTGAGTAGCACTGGTAATGTAGATTACAAAGATAGGTGTACTATACTGTCTATTGAACCTCTATGGAAACGGTGTCTGGGAAACGTCCTGGTTCTGCTGTGCGAAACTTTGCATGGCCTGTCATTCTGTCCCTCCCCGCCCGCTTAGAGATACGCACCGCCATATGGCCTTAGAGATCACACACTCACGTTGGGAGTAGATAAATGAAATAAACAGGTCGGATGGAACTGTTTACTACATATTGCAGCTTGATCTGGAATAAGCTCCCCGTAACTGCTCGTAGCAGCACTTTTATGTGGCAGTTTAAGCGCCTTATCAACTTGCTTTCAGGCTGAGGTGATATCTGGAGTCTATTTTTAGATAGATACCTCACAACAGAAGCACTCAGAGATAACTCTGTAAGACTCTACCGTCTTCACGATGGTGAAATTGATTGTAACTTAAGAATAAATATGGGTAGGATCCCTTTCTAGGCGTTATTTTCTGAAGTAAATAACTCTTGATCTGGAACAGTGAGAACTCTGTGTATCTGACAGTTTCCCCTCAGTTGTATAACTTGTATCATCGAAGTAAAATAGCCTATATATGACGAACAGCATGCTTGACTGACTCCAAACGACGTTTAAATCCACTTAGCAGTCTGCTAGCAGAATTCCTCGTAAACGTCTCCACATCAAATCGCCTTATTTTCTACACACTAAGACTTCCATTAGCTCACTTCTTTACGCTGAAACTTAATTCGTATTCAAAGGTTTTTGTAAACGCTTGCATGTATGACGTTCACTCATCCCTGATCTCCCAGATCCTAGCTTAGATGTGTCGGCTAATGTGCCCCGCTGTTCAGACAAATAGCTTCAGCGATATACTTCATGTTTATCGTGCACTAAAAGTCACTGACTACCATTTCACCGTAGTTTATCACCGATTAGACAGGTAGTTTTTGCGCAACAACCATTATGTCCACACCTGGGTTCTTTTTCTTTGATTATTCTGCTCATTTCTTGCTGATCACTGACTTAAGTACACGATAAACTGTTTCATACCCACTTTTCCTTTCCTTTCTGATAGATTCACAGTGTAGCCGCTGCATAACGATCGTTTTGATAGTTGACCCCAAATTAAAGGCCTAAAGTGGGACTGCATCCAGAAATGTTGGCATTACATGCTGTTTGTGTCCAAACGCAGGTTCTCCGATTAAAAGCGGCCACTTACATCGCAGGGAAGAAAACCGAAACTGACTTCATATGGAGCTCCGACCTTCAGAAAACATTGAACGATCCAATGATGAAACCTAACATATCGTGGGCCGTAAATTGACGACAGTTTCTAAGACAGGAATCGCCGAATAGCAACTGGACCCATGCCATCTACTTTTACCTTTGGGGTAAATCCCACACACTTCTCACCACCTTGCCATTCCTATTCAGGCACCTACGCAGAGAGAAGTAGTGACAGACCCCTAATCTTCCCAACAACCCATAGCTCCCTAATCACCATAAAAGTTACTGTTTACCAACTCACAAATCATTCATCTCACTGAAGCTAAAAGCAAGAAAACAGATGGGATTTCCTTGTCCACTGCAAGAGCAAAACGAAAAAACTGGAATCAAGCTCTTAGAACTGGACGCGAGATATGAAAACCTTCAGTCCTATACGCCCACGCTACCAATGTTGGGTGTTGAATTGACCTTATCAGCAGCTACAATGGCCGCCCGAACAAACCAAGCTACAATTTGGAAGAAAAAATACCTTCAAAAAGACAAACACTACCTCGAAAGCTGTAAGCAAGAAGGGCGCAAAGACTTCTGAGATCACTGAGGGGTTAATAACGAACAGAGGGAACCGGATCTGAAGACCAAGAAGCGAAAGCTCAAAGACTTTAAGTTTCCTGTACTTGCACATTTAATGTTGAACGTTGGATGTTGGAACCGTTTTGATGTATTCAAATTTGATTTCAAGGTGAGGATGGCGGTAAGCATGTGTAACTTTAGATTATTTGCAGACTGCGCTCGGAGTCGTTCTAGATGTAGGAGCTCATATGACGCAAAATATAGGTGAAGCAATAAAATGTGTGAGGCTGCTTTTAGAAAAAAAAGTCAGTCCCTGTACTTGTAGTCTAATGGTTGTCTGATGCGATTAGTTCTTTGCAGAGTCGAAAGATGAGGTAGCATTTATTCTCTGCGGATCCAATGCCACTGAAAATAACCTTGCAGATGATGACGGAAATTTTCAGAATATCTCTCTGGTCTTCAGCCTTAATCCCATAAGTTGGGATCTCTTGGAATTTCTAACTCCCGATTTATTGTCATCTTCATCAGCAGATGGTAGACTTATTTATTTGAGTTTCATTTTTCCAATCAGTTGTTGATGGTTTAATGGTGGGAGCTGATCATCTATATAACACTTGCAAGTAAGCTCGAAATGATGTAATCGATCCTGGTATTTCAGAGATAAGAAAAATTTAAAGGAGAAGCATATACTCCTTGTCAGTAATCTCTGTGGTCCAGTTGATGAGTGTGATTTGTCAAAACTTACTGAGTCGCTGCAGTCTTCAGGTATTAAATTTAGTTTGATTGGTTGTGATTTGTCCAACCCTGAGAGCACCTCTTCATCTGAAATCCAAGCTGAACCTGGACCATCTCATTCCGCTCCCTGCCATCCAAACTACACTCAAAAGGTATCGCCACATCTTTCGTATTTTACTGACCTCTGGAGTAGGCTTGATGGTGAATCTTATGATTTCAAGTATGCTAACTGTTTCTTGCTATATTAATTTCGTCTAGTCTATGAGGGTTAAACCTTGATTACCGTTTCTAGTTTAGACTTTCTTTTAATTTAATTTTGAGCCACGCACACATTTAGAAGAGATTTGCGGTTGGACATGTACATATCTTTTTATGTTCCTGTTGTCGTGTATTGCATTTTCAACATGGCTTTAGTGCATGGCAGTTCAGCTGTTTTTCCTGTACTATAATACTCCTTCTATGATATCTGGAGATTTATCTTGGCGTTGAATTCAGTCACTGGAATTTGAAGTTGAGGCAACTAAAACTGATTGTCAATCTAGTGTTAAATTAAAAATGTTTCAGACCGTAATTCCTACATACATGTCGTGCATTTTCTGTGTAACGAAGCTTTAATAGATACATGGCTAGTGACAACTATATGTATCGTATGAAAGCGTAAGTGGCTGGGTGAATGTTTTAGTGTAAATCGATTTCTGAAAAATGGCATATATGAGCTTATACAACACTTTCACTTACAGTGTGTCAAGATTTTATCACTGTTTTGACTCCAAAACATGTGGCAAGATTTTCGAAAGTGCAGCATGTGTCGTAAAAATAAGACAACAGGCATATGAGTCAAATATTGAAGGATGAAACAAGCAAAATACCTAATAAAAGTCATGCAGTACATCATTAGTCACGAAGTATAGCCGACACGTCCGTTTTTCATAACTTATGAAAAAGATGGCTCATAGCAGTCTTTCGTGCTGATCTACTCTTAGTGTGCAAAGGCTCATGGTAATTCTCAGTCGTCCGTACTAAAGTACATTGTGTGGGTTAGGAAACGACCTTGTGCTTAGTACTCGATTATCTAGATGACTTGTCCACAACTCCATAACAGTAAAAGCTTTAATACATCTGAGCAGTTCAGGATGTCGCATACTAACCTGTTGATTTTGGCTTCATACATCTTAACACTATTAGGAATGAAAACGTTGGGAGGCACCATAACAAGGATAGCTCATAGCGTGTGTGGTATGGGACATCCAGTAGATGCACTGGATTTTTTCACAGTGGCTAACAGAATATTAGTCGGAAGACCAAAAAAGAATATCTACCACGTCGATCGGTCTGTGCCAACATATCTAACATCGCATAGTACAACAATTCGTTCTTTGGCTCGTGTAATCTGTCTCTGTAAACGAAGTTAGGTTTCTTCTAGTTCACTCATATTACATCAGCTGTCAGGTATCAAAACAGTAATGGTAATTACTATTCATGTCTTAGCTTTCTAGATGAGTTTGGATTCAAGACTGTATAAATCCTCATACTCCTCGTGCTTAAAGCTATTTGTTAACCTCAATCCTCGACCTATGATTTCACAACGCATAACCAGTCTTTTGAAGACTATTAATCTTCAACTCCCTTTCCTCCACAACTTATCGTCAAGAGGTATTTCTGAAAATCGTATGGTGGCATGGAGGGATCCTATGTCTTGCAAACGACCAACTGAAAATACTGGAAAATTTCGCTAACCCCTATAAAACGCATTTTGATAAATTCTAGTATTGTCTTTTCTACTCATGTTAAGATTTTTTCGGTTACCAGTCCTGGATCTGAATGGTTTTCAGGTGAATTTGCTTGCTTGCGTTCGTCGAAATTCCTGTGGCATCTAAAACCTTTTCGAGCAGGGATCTTGATGGTTTTCAATACCAACTCCAAATGTTCTCATCTTCCATACAATCGCGGCTTTCATTGTTTTGATGAAAACGTTATACACAATTGATTTCCGGTCCTGTCAAACTGCCTGATAGGGTTCATAGTGCAACAATAATTATTAAACAGCGATATTTTTGTTCAGGTGACGGTTATTGTTTCTTTCTGGACACTTTACAAAGCAAGAAAACTGGTCTACATCAATATGTGTCTTCGAGAATACAGAACGATATTGCGCACTGTATTCTGGGAATTTAATAGCACCAAGATGGATTGGAGAATGGTACACTTTCACTTTCCAAAAGTCAGTAGTTATAGTTCGTCATGACTTGTCAGATTTAAGTTTCTGTACTTTCTGCCAAATTTTTCTGTGTACGCCACTGGTAGAATACAATTGTGTTCCTATTTATTTGAGTTTTGGTTGCATATAACTCGGTAAGGCTGAGAAAGGAACTTGGCAACCTGGTTGATTCCAGGTAGTTTTACTTCTCATCACAAAGACCTTTTACTTTGTTGGTCAGTTTCTAAATGCCTAGAACTGTAAAGCTAAACAGTTTCTGAAATTTCAAAATTTTCAGTTTGTACCCTGTGGATGTGACAGGTTGACAATATCTTTACAACAAAGAAGGCAAACTTTTCTCCGATTGGGAAAGGTTTCTGTTCAGAGACCCGTAATTCCATAATCATATGTGTTTTCCTAAGATTCCTTTTTTAATCACCGTTTAGCAGCAAGCAGAATTATTAAAGCCATATTTAACTTTCATTTACTAGTGATTTTGATTTTCATTTTCGAAAGCGATGCAGTTTCTGCTTTACGTATATTTGAGACTCGTACTGTTTCTCAGCGCGGCTGGAAAGTTGACTTTCAAATTGGCGATTCACTTGTTATTCCTGTCATCGGTTATACACAAATCAAAGAGGCTCATGCACCTACTATGAAGGTACTGTATGCTCCAGACCCTTCTGTCCCACTACGCACTGCTACGAAGTATTATAAACGGGATGAAAGTTCTTCGGAGTTGAACTCTTCTGAAGTGACCCGAGGTGAGTTTTACACTCGCGTAATCAAACAAGCCAGTTTTCTTCCAAAATAGTCACCGTAACTATTGAGAAAGCTAAATGGTTACCATTTTTTAAAATGAAATTTCGGTGCTTAATACGAATCAGTTGGTCATGTTCTTTTACGTCTGACCTTATGTTTGCCCATTTAATCTTATGATGTTTACTTCGTATGGTCTTGTTGAGTGAAGATTTTGACAAAATCCAGAGTCTTCTGGATATCTTATCTGGTAATTTGAGAATGTTTAGAATGCATTTCTCTTCACTCAGTTGCAAATTATTACTCTAGGACTGATTTTTAGTGATTTCTCTAACAATAGGGAGTGAAGTTGTTTGAACGCGTTTATCAACTAACTTATCTGAGAATTTGGGTCAGCAACCGACAAAATCTCTGCGCTGATACAAAAGGCTTGATCGGCTCTCACCAACCCACGCCATTTGTTGTGCTGACGTGATATTTGATTACCTATTAAGGATCAAGCATACTACCATGCAGTCCTCTGTATTCGATTTTATGGCTGTAAAACATGGGCAAAAAATGTGGAGGATATGATATGTCTTCCGGTGTTCGACCACCGTTGCCTTCATAGCCTCAACCATGTCGTAGTGTCACCACATCAGTAACATAGGAGTTACGCGTATAGGGAAAAGCTAGTCGGTGAGTTGGTAAGCCTTTATCTGCTGAGAGGGCTGGGAAATATGTTCTACATACGTCTACCTCGTCGCATAAAGTTGGCTAAAATAGGTCCCGGTTGAAAAAAGGTTAGGGGTGGTCTCAAAAAATACTTGACATTGGTCGCTGAAGCATTTGACTGTTGGTCTGAGTCATCTGGGGGAACTGTAGACCTCCCGATTGTTGTCTATGTGATACCAGAAACCAGTGGTTGGAGACCGAATAATGTGGCTCAAGATCGATGTGAATGGCGCAGTTGTATTCACACACCATCTTACTCGTCAAACTAAATTTCAGTGTTATGTCATTCTTCCTTGCCCTCTCCTCCATAACTTTCCATCACTTTTGGTTGGCTTCTTTATTTCTTAATCTTTCACCTTTGTGCATTATCGCTTGATGTGCTGACATGAAGTGTGGGAACGTGTACCGTTGCGCGGTAATGCTAGGTCGTATGTTGGTTTTGTCTGTTTCTGCCTGTACTGACTTGATGGATTGGTACAATCTCTTATGGTGGTCACTTCTAACCTCCTAAATTAATACTACTTCAGGCAATATAACACATCAAGGTGAACAGTGATTGTTGGGCTAAGCACATATCTTGGCATATTTCGTCGATGCATGTACACAACCCCATCAATTGTATTACTTTTCTCGCATGGGGCTGTAGCATGTTGGTTTAGACACTTGTTTGGGCAGCTACTTAGTATCACTAGTCTTCATACAATAGGTGCGACTCATTGCCTGGTGCATTAATGTGCACAAGGCTACTGAGTAAACCTCCTTACTTTTCTTGCATAACATCAACGAAATTCACTTAGTGGCCTCACCAAACACGGAAAAAGCTTGGAGTAAACCTATGGTCAAAAATACACCGCTTCTTTATTTTTATTCAATGTTAGTCGAAGTAGAATAATGTTGGAGAAAACCTGAAAGCGGTCTGGTAAAGACATGACACAAATTCATGACTGCTGCTTTTACTTGTTGAGAGACAAATAAGCCGCCTGTTTGAGATTTTTAAGGTTACAGAAACCACTGGCTAAGAACTTTCGGTGACAACTCAAAATTAGTCAGTCAGGTAGGCGTATACACTCTTTGTCATCTTGGAAATGTTAAACATTTATTTATTCATTTATCTACTCTTTTCACCTAATTTTTTAAAAATATTTCGGTACCATTATGTTCCAGCTGGTTTTTTTTTTTACGTTGTAGTGATGAGCAATCCTAGTCACAACAGGTAGTACCTGTTGACGAAAAATGTTCTATGAAGCTGTTTAGTGTCATTTTTCTGTCCAGCTTTAAATATGTAATACAAATTTTCCACCATATAGTCATATAATCTGATAATTCCCATTTCGACATCAAAAATCAAGGGAGTCATCTTTTAAAAAACTTGTCAAGCTATATCTAAAGTCGTATGCGTCTCATGATGGTTTTAGCACTCATCTGTTTCTCTATTTATTCTTTCTTTCCAGTCTACACATCGTCATTGTTAACTATCGGACGAACAATACTTTTTAGATAAAGAGGCTTGTAAAATGTTGAGTTGTTTAGAAAAATGCTTCTGTCAAGCATGTCGTCTTTATCGATATCTATTACCACTCAACCTTTCCAACTACTTATTCTGAACTCTGAATGTTTCAAGATTCTTACTTTCAAATGCTTTCATTGGTACACGACCGTCGTAAGAGTTTAGTACTTAGTTGATAAGTTCAGTGATTTTGTTTGAATTCTTCGTTCTTCAATCTGTTCATATGTGAAACATTTCGTCATAATAGTTGTGGACTTTCGTCAGTAACTTGCATGTATTGTGTATGACTCATTGGATGGTTTTCTCAGTATAACTTCGATTTTTCTTGAAGCTCAGTGTTAAAGATTATCACTAGTTACTTCTCTTTCGTTAAAAGCAACCACTCATTCAATTTCTAAGGGCAACATTTATACGAAATACAATAGATGTATCATTTTGCATGCTTGTCAGTCAGGTTTACGTCAATTTGAGGATTTATATTTAGAGAACCAACTCGGAAACAATGTGTAAGCTTATGCACTGAGTAATGGGTAGCAGTTTTTCTATGAAGGCTGATGGGACTACTCAACTGCTGTACGCTTAGTAGGTAAGGTGGATTATTAAACCCGTTATCCACTGGTCAGATAGCTCGACACTTAACAACTTACTTCAAAAGCTGTCTAGTTGATACAAATATTGTCTTGATATTGAATTTAGCTGATCAATTTTACCCGAAAAAAACACAACTTTTTGGATAATCATTAAATGCTTCTTTTTATGAGAATGATTAGAGGTTTGTTGTTTAACCACATCATCGGGTTAATATACATAAAGTTTGGTTCATTGCCTTACTCCAGCCAAAAATACTGAGTCATTTTCCAGTAGATAGATACTAATTTTTCAGTATAACTTCCTCACTAGAACATATTACATTTTTAATTCAATGCTCAAAGTCTTTTTCTCAACAAAGGTCATCGATACGGTGGAACTCTGGTCCCCTTCGGCGAAGAAGATATGGCTTCACTTAAGCCGTCTTCAGAAAAGAGCTTGAGCGTCATTGGATTTACCGAGGCCAGTAATGTGAGTCATGTTCATCCAGTACCTTTTGAATTACTTATCTAACTTCTGAAAGTGTAGGTTTTATGCCATAGTGGTTTCCAGCAAAACAGTTGTTTGCGAAATTTCCAGTTTGTGGTGAAAATAATACTTCTAGGTTTAACTTACTCGTGCGGTTCTATTGTGATTTATTTTCGAAAATTCGTTTTTAATTTTGCGGTTACGATCTGCTCGATACCAAGAATGTCGTTAAGAAAGTTATGTGACATATACCATTTAATAACATGCCTAGTTGGAAATCACAATTAAAACTGAGTAGTATATGTTAACGAAATGGAAATCAAAATGCTCTGGTAGTGTATTGTACAGTTTTTCTACATTTGTTTCCATCCTAAGGCTAATTAATGGTTTGAGTTTCAACATATATAAATCATATACCCGAATAAGGTTAGATACTAATCAATAATGAAGATAAGTGAGACGTTTTATAGGTTCCTAACTTTGAAACACTAGCAGTTTTCTTAGGTTAGGCAATTGCATTATAACGAACGATATCTAGTGGTGTTTTCTGACTCAGTGGTCAAGATTGCTTAGTTCACTGGCTGGTTACGTGTATACTGGTTGTAATTGTCGTACAGTGTTTATCATAGCCTGCTGAAATGGCCAGGTAGGCTGCAGTAATATCGAAGACCACGACTGTCGTTTTGCAAGTAATAGTTAGCCGGTGAACTGATTTTATTCTAATCAGTAAGCAATATTTCTTTGCATATTTTCATAATGTTGCTGGATCTACTTTACCACAGGTGTTCCAAAAGATCCATCCTAGAAGCACATTCAACACGCCTCGTTACATACTGATAGATAGATACTGATTAAAATAAGCCACAGCAGTGCACTTCGTTGTATATTCTGAACGGTGACAGCTAACTTCATACGCAAGAGCCACCGACTACCACCCGGGACGAATATATAGAGAAGACCCAAACTGGATGGGAGAGTTTATTCCTTCGAGTATATCAATCAATTAATTAACTTAAAAACACGTGAGTATGTATATACATGAAATATGACCCTGTCCGCAAATTGGAGCACTAACGTAGTAAAGAACAAGGATTGCATTACGAATGAGGGCAGAAAGTAAACTACTAGTCATGCTGTAAAAATTGTGTGAGAATGACAAGTTAAAAATGTTTAGATCAATAGCTATGTTTTATGGAATCTGGGGTCTTGGAACACTTCCAAGCTAGCCTAACTTCCACTAGCATGGCACGTCGTGGAATGCGTCAGCTCTGCACGTGCAGTACATTTTGTTAGTTACACCAGTGTACATCGTTGCTTGAGCAACATTAAGTAAAACGTAACAATTATTTGTTTCAGTTTGAAGTTAGTAGGTGTTAAGGGGAACACTACAAATTGATAAGAGTGTAAGTTATCAATCTGATATTGTTTCAATGAAGCTTTCAACCAGAGCGTTCACTGAACCATGGTCTACAAGTTTACTTTCCGCCTTAAGTCTAAGCTCTACTTTCAATCTTAATCCTCATAACCTACTTATTTATATTAAGATGACTTGCTTGTCTAGTTGCACTCGAAACCAATGTTTTATCTAAGGCCGGGACTTTCTGACAAATAAGCTTGTCGAAGAAACCAGTTAAGTTTTAAGACTACTTACCAGTATCTGCAATTATTAGTATAGAGAACCTGTTTCCAATAAACCTATTGACCTGCTTTTTGATGAGTGATTTTCGTAAATTATGTGTATGGATTTCGCGTGCCAAGCGAGTGATCATAACAAATTTATAACGTTTGCATTAATGAGATTTTCTACAAATGAGTAGGTCTCAAACAGTTTATTTCCAACTGGATCCAAAAAGCGAAGGTATCAATGTATTTTTTAAAAAAAGGGGAGGTGTGGAAGGCCCCAGTCTTGCATAAAACATAGTTATTGATCTAAACATTTTTAACTTGTCATTCTCACACAATTTTTACAGCATGACTAGTAGTTTACTTTCTGCCCTCATTCGTAATGCAATCCTTGTTCTTTACTACGTTAGTGCTCCAATTTGCGGACAGGGTCATATTTCATGTATATACATACTCACGTGTTTTTGAGTTAATTAATTGATTGATATACTCGGAGGAATAAACTCTCCCATCCAGTTTGGGTCTTCTCTATATATTCGTCCCGGGTGGTAGTCGGTGGCTCTTGCGTATGAAGTTAGCTGTCACCGTTCAGAATATACAACGAAGTGCACTGCTGTGGCTTATTTTAATCAGTATCTTTGGTTGTACATTCGTAGTCATTGTTTGATAAGCGAAACACAGTTAACCCAATTCGATGTTTGTAGTTGAAAACATACGTAGCCTTGAGAAAATGTGATGCATAGCGCAATTGTATAGGTGAAACTTTTCAACCTTAGTATATGAAATATGAAACAAAATGTAAGTGAAATTAAAAGGCGGTTATAGAATAAGTAGATAGACCCAAAATGTTTTCGCTTAGATGTTCTATTATCAATCTGTTTGTGAAATAAGATGCATGAGACGGTTTCGAGTAACCACAAACGTAAGAATTCGTAGCATAAGGGAAACAACTCTTGACTGATTCTATTAACACAGTTTTGGAACTACTTTTTACCTGTCAGTTCCCAACGGGTTGCAAGCAAACTTATGACTGTATACAGTATATAACGAGGCTTGTCGAACGTGGTTGTTTGTGAACCACTTCACTTGCGCGGCAGGTGGTATCAGCTCTGATGGCTTAGTGGTCGGTGAAGTCTCCGCATGGATACAAAATGCTCGACTGGCTTTTGCTTATTTGAGCCATCTATGGCTCCACCGTGATATCCGTTTGTCTATTAAGGGTCGCGTGTACTGCACAGCAGTTCGGTCTGTTCTACTGTGTATGGCTTGAAACATGGCCATTGAAGGTGGACGACAGAAGGCTTCAAGAGTTTGACCATTGTTGCCTTCGTAGTATAGGCCGTATTCCGTGGTGTCACCACATGAGTAACATAGAAGTTAGGTGTGAAGTTTTAGGGAGAAGAGGTAAGTCGGTTGATGAGGTTACGAACTTTCATCTGTTGAGATGGTCGAGACACGTGTTACGTATGCCTAGTCGCCGATCGCCTCGTCACACAATGTTAGCTGAAGTAGGTCCAGGCTGGAAAAAGGCCCGAGGTGGCCAGACTAAAACATGACACCAACGCATGACGTCTCTGACTGTTGGTTTGAGCCATGTCAAGGGATGCAGACTAGGTGGTTGAGGTCCGCGGGACAAGAGGAACCAGTGGTTGGAGAACCGATGTCGGTGGCTCAGATGTATGCACACATTATCCTCATCTTAACACTATACTGATTCTCACCATTTTCTCATTCTCGCTTTCTTTCTTGTCGTACTTTATATTTCCTTAGACTGAATTTTCTTATCTTCATCTTTCACTTCACTACCTTTCTTCCTGATGTACTGATATGAGCTGTGGTAACTCAGACCGTTACGCAGTAATGCCTGGTCCTATGTTGATATTGATGATGACGATGATGGTGAAATTTCCAACCGCTTATCGAAAGCCGGGGTGGCATACGTCAATCTGAGCTACATTTGTGTTCTGATAATAATAACTTTGAAGTATGGCAATCTCAGCCGATGCCTTTGTGTGCGAGGTTGTACGTTGATCTTTGTCTGTCTGTCTGTTTGATGTAACTGACAAAAGCAACCTTAGCTACTGAAAGAAAATCTAGTGCTTTTGGATTACTGATCTGATAATGTGGTAGTAGTTTTTTTTTCGACGTAAATCTGCGTTGATAATTTTTTCCTTAAGAAAATAACATCGGCCGTACCGTGTTCCAGCTTATACAACGAGCTCGCAAACACCATCCAGTTTGGCTGATAAGCGGAGAACGGAAATCCACCCTCAGCTGTGTAACAGAACGCTCAGTAAACTCAGGACATTTGACTCCTTTTGGTAAAAGACTAATTGAGCGAAGAAATATATTTCTTTTCAATTAGGTCTTCATCTTGGGCTCTACACTAATATGTAGGTTTACAATTTAATCAAATTACCAATCACGTGGTGGTGTCTCGGAAATAATGATGTAAATAATCAATAGAGTTACTAAAATAGGAAATATGAATATTGATAGAAACAAGAAGGGGAAGAGGTGCACAAAGTAAACCTAGAAGTTACATCATATTGATGGCCATGGTAATGAAAGTGATCGAACAAACTTATTTTGGATACAAAGGCTAGGTTTGTAAAAGTGGATTGCAATCGCCTCTGCTATGTGAAGTAACCGAGTGCGTAATCCATGAGGCAAATTAATTGGAATCTGATGGATGATTTTGAAGGCTTTTCCAGTAACCACTTGATGTCTTGTGTCAACTAAGCGTGCAAGTATGGAGCTCTTTATAGTTCTAATTTGTCCCTTGTTCAACCATGATGAGTGGTGCTCAGAAATTCGATGATGGAACTGCCTCATTGTACGCCCAATGTAACTTGCTCCACAGGAGCAGTTGAATTGATAAATGCACATAGAAGTGGCAGAATCAGGCAGTTTGTCTTTATTTCCTTCAAAAATAGCACTATCAAATGTAATAACCTCTGAAATTAGTTTAGTGATAAACACAATACTAAACCCAGTATATGAGATGATTAGAAAATCTATGGTGTCTAAAGAAGTCATTGCATATTGGGTTATGATTATCTCTTTCGGTTACATAAGTGGAATTAGGAAGGAGAATATCTGGGGAATTCGCTGTTTTGTATGCAATAGTCCTCGTACTTCATTTCTAATCCTTTCTTTAGTAATGTGTTTGGCTTCTAGTCGAAATGCGCTCAACAATCTTTTGCCCCTTCGTGCAGTAGATAATGGGTCACATCTATTGTCTGAGGCCTAATGATACTACTGCCTGTCTGCCCAAACCTCGGCAGGTGAAGCAGTGTTCGAACCCGCGACCCATTGGTTGAAAGTCAACTCCCTAAATCAATCAGCCACAAACTTAGTCTGCTCGTCACTTTTTCTGTGCTGTAATACAGACTGATTACAACGTTTACATTGATCACTTTTTCTGGTCAGTCATACTATTCATCAATGTTCACTTAATTTTTTGAGGTCCCTCACAATTTCTACACTGGTGAAAGTGTTTTAGTTTTTGTGGCTCAGACAACTCAACCGGTTGAAGATAGTACAGCAAATACCCCAATGATTTCAACAGCCTTAGCGGCATTAGCTCAAGCACTTTATGAAGTTGGTGGTGTTGTTCTTGTTCGAAGGGTATACAATCAAACAAGTGCTGCTAGACTAGGAGTTCTAACTCCAGAGTAAGTTGTGGAAAAGTTTTTTACGATTCATTCTCTTCTTTCACTTTTAAACTTGCTATTTCGCCTACAGAATGCAGTTTTGCTTATTCCTCGCACAAAGTCCTCAAAAAGTGAAGTAGTTTCAATAGTAAATGGTAAATAAGCGTTGTGAAGAGATCGGTTTGTGTTAGAAAAGCATGACTGAATCCCGATGAAAAAGTCTCCTGGCAGACTGTGTCAAACTAAATTCTATACAAAATATTTTTTGTCTGGGTTGTGTGGTGTATTTGCGCTAGACATTTCAATCTCACACGTGCTTGTCTTAGGTATTTTTTTGTGTGTGTGTGGGGGGGTGCATAATTTTTCACTACTCACTTTTCTGCCTTATATGTACAACAAAAAGTGTAGTCTACATTTCAGGGTGAACACTTTTGTCAGACTGATGGCATCGCTAGGGAAGTCCTGTGGAACACCCAATGAACATACATATTTTCCGATATTGAGAACTTATCTGACTATCTTATTGAGAAGGTCACTTTCTACAGAACGTACACTGACGGCATCCTAATCATAATTAATCACTGAATATACTATAATTTAATTTTCAATCTATCCAATAAAATAATTAAGGGTATATCTTCCGTAGGTAAGAAAGATAATTGCTTGCCTCTCCGAAGTGTGTTGATAGACTGACACTGTGATATACCAATAAATCTGTCTATCTACAGGAAACCTACTTGGATAGGACAGTATCTAAATTATCATACTTTCTGTCCATTCTGATAAAAGCAAACCTTAGTTGTTTATTTAGCAGTTTCCAACACATGTACACAAATTATACTCTGGAGGAACAGATGAAACTGCTGATGAAAACGTTTCTTTAGAAGGGTAACCGGTAAAAAGTTATCAACTGGTAAAAAGCTGTCAGATAACTGAGGCATACGATCCACTTTGTTTCGAAGAAAGAAGTATCTATCAAACTTCCATACAGGGGGGTCACTGTTAATGAGATACAGTATGGCTCACTGCCCTTAAAAGAGACTCATTGTTCCCATTCGAAAAATATACTATGCAGCTAAGGTCAAGCGTGATGAAAAATACCAAGGCGGTATATCCTACTGTTGACCAACAGCTACTATTTTGATATGGTGGTCGGGTTTAAATATCACAATGACCCAAGGAGATATGCTGGTGAGAATATTTGTTCCATGAAGATCCACCATACCCGGAAGGTTTGTTCTGTAGGAGTAAAATAGAAAACAGTTACCATTACAGTATGAATAAATACACTGTGATGGGGATTCGAGTGTAAAGTCATACTATTGGTTGGATGGCGTGTGTATTGACTGAGTCAATGGTTAGCGAGGCTTATATGGGGGAGAATGCATCTGCGATTCCCTCACAGGGAAAACAACTTTCTACAATGGATGGAAGAGTTCAACTGACCCCTTGCCAATTTCCAGTTACTCAGTACCAAGTTGTATCCTGAATGGAATACTGGGGTTGAGTATCCAACTTTTGCAGAAGTTAAGAAGGCTGTAGTTCACCTAAAACGAAAAAAGTAAACCATGATGGACTAGTACCAGAGGTTTATAAAGACAGTTATCTAAGGTTAAATAAAGTGTTATCTAGCTTATGTGAAGCAGATATCATCTCTCACTAGTCTCGATCCTTGATTGTCACAGTCTTCAAAAAGGGGAGAAATCCTCAACTGATAGTCACAGAGGAATATAGTGTCCTAGATGCCAGGTTCTACGACCATTAGTTATCCAAGTGGAGGTCAAGGACAGTAAACCTGAGAAGACTGGGTAGCTTTCGAAAGTAGTCGTGGGTGAGTCGACCAGATACTCACCCTCTTCCAGGTTTTTGAACACAGACAAATTTACCGTCGTCCGACGTTGACAGCATTTCTTTACCTGAAGGCTCCTTTGGACTCCGTCTATCGAGAGGTCTTATGGAAGTGTTTTTCACGGAAAGGAGTACCGGGTAAGTACGTCACCCTGTTTAAGGCGCTTTTCTAGAAGACTCATGGGTATGTTAGAGCCTATGGCGAGTTGTGCACGTTAAGTGGTGTCCATCAAGGATGTCCATTCTTCCCATTCCCACTTAATTTTGTCGCAGACATACATCTGACTCTACAGACATGCCTTGTCACAGGAGACCTAGAGTAAACAGATGACATTGTCTTGTTAGGAGAAGGCACTTGAAAAGAAAATGGAATCATACTCAACAATCATTTACTCATTTGTGCAATAGGCAATGAGCCATATCTATTGTGTGAAGGCTAACGATACTACTTGGCTGTTCAGATCTCGGTAGGTGGAGAGAGGCTCGATCCCATGACCCATTGGTTGAAAGTCAGCTGCCTAGACCAATAAGCCACAGCTCCACAGCAAAGACGCTGATAAGGTACAGAGTCTTTTGGATACCTTGAATGACAATTTATAATGTTTGCAATACCTTTATCATTAACCAAATGCCATTGTATTGCCTTTTCCAAGATTCATAAAGAGAAGTAATTAATTAGAAGGGAGGATTCCTGAGGCAATGCCACTAAAAGCTTATTCGTGTTAGTTGAATAGGAATAAAGAACTGATTCGTTGTCGATGCAGAGAGTTTAACGCACACGGATGTTAAGTGTTTAGTAACTTGATCACAATGAAAAGTTTATATAAGCAAATGAACATCCTCTAAGAAAGATGAAAGATACACAAGTCTAAAAAGGAGGATATGCGTTCACTGGAGTATTTAAATGGAAAAAAATGCACTAACCAATTTTCAATCCTATTCTTTTGTCTCTTCAGAGTTCAAGGAAATCAAATCTCTCTTGTATACACTGATTTAGCGTTTAATGAGGATATTCGTAATTTCGAATTCCCAAGTCTACCAGTTTCTTGTGAGCCTAATAGTTCCACAATAGAATATGATACTACATCTCAAGTGAATGAAAGATTACAAAAAGACTGTCCATCTCAAAGCGAGTTATCAGCTATGGATTCTTTTATCGACTCTATGATGTTAAATTATCCAGATGAAAGTGAAGATGATGAAACAAATGGTGACGATAAAGACAACAGTGTAAATAATTCAAGAAACTTAAGGTGAGTATCGATTCACTTTTATCATATCTAAATGTTGAACAGTGATATATTTGAGGTTTATTTTGATCAATGTTGACACCAGTCATTTCAAATGTCTCATTGGAAGGCGTATCGAATAAGTACATCATCCCAATGAAGACTTTTTACTCGAACAGCTGTAGGCGTGTTAGAGCCTATGGTGAGACATCGAGTGAGTTGTGTACGTCGAGTAGTGTCTGTCAAAGATCCCCACTCTCTCCATTCCTATTCAATTTCATCATAGATGTTCTCATGAAGGGTCTCCTCGCCATCCAGCCACACAGGGATTAACGTAATCATAAGAGAACTTTTGCAGACTTAGAATACGCAGATGACATAGTTCCCATTAGCTGAAGACACTGACAAGATCTGTTGTCTTCTGGACACCTTCAGTTGCAATTTGAGAATGTTTAGGATGCGTTTCTCGCTACCCAAATGCAAATTATTTCTCCAGGATTGGTCTTCAACGACATCCCAACTAACAATGCAGAATGAAATGGTTGAACGTGTTGAACACTTCACTTACCTGAGAAGTCGGATCAGCCGTGGTAGGTCAATGGCCGACGAAATCTCTGCACGGATATAAAAGGTCCGGTTGGCTTTTGCCAACCCACACCATCTGTGGCGCTGCCGCTACATCCGATTATCTATTATGGGTCGAGTGTAGTGTGGTACAGTTCATTCAATTCTACTGTATGTCTGTGAAACATGACCATTAAAGGTAGAAGACATGAGAAGGCTTCAGGTGTTTGACCACCTCTGGCTTCGCAGCACAGATCGTGTTTCGTAGTGTCATCACGTGAGTTACACCGAAGTCAGTTGTAGAGTTTTAGGAAGAAGAGGTAAATCAGTTGACACGGTTGTGAACCTTGATCGACTGAGATGGTTGGGACACGTGTTACGTATGCCTATCCACCGTCTGCTTCGTCACACAATGTTGGCTGAGGTAGGTTCAGGCTGGAATAAGCCTCAGGGTGGCCAGACTAGAACATCTCATCAATGCATGAAGTTGTCGCATGTTGGTTTGAGCCGTGTAGGGCGATGCGGACTAGCCGGTTGGGGTCCATGGGACAAGAAAAGCCAGTGGTTGGAGACCCTAGCTGATATGGTTCAGAATCGAAGTCAGTGGCCCGGACGCATACGCACATTGTCCTCACATTAACCGCTGTACGTAATCTCATCATCTCATTGTTCCTTCCTCTCTTTTATTATTTTCTGCATCTACTTCCACTTCGCTTGACCGATTTTTCTTTCCTTCTTCATCTTCCATTTTATTGCTGACATGAGGTGTGGCAATTTGGACCGTTACGCAGTAATGCCTAGTCCTATGTTGATCTTGATGATGATGGTGAAGTGACTCATCATCAATTGATTACTGTCTCATCCAAGTGATTGATGATATTTGCACTGATGCCATATCAATTTTTGTTAGTTTTGATTTTAGCGAAATTCTCCGCTAAAATGAATTTTATTTATACCCAGGTCTGAAATTACTTTCACCTTAAAAATCGACCATACCTATGAACTTGTAGGTGCGTAATACACCCGTGAAATAGAATATCTCCAACCTCTCATCCAACTTTTCAGTGAATGTTATTTATACTTGAAACGTTTACTTTTCTTTACTTATGTACTTGTGACTAGCTGAATATTTGAAAACAAACGTCAATAAATTGAAAGTATGCAAAATCCTTGGTTGTAGTCAATTTGAGAATACCAAACAGAATTTCGGATGAAGAGAAACCCTTCTATTTCAGGTGTCTCAAGAAGAACTAGCCTTCCACGATGTGGGCAGCCGGAAAGTTTCAACCGTCCAAACGCTCTCAGTAGGGCCCAATCAAACATAACCTTTCCTCCTTTGCCTTCACCTCCTGATACTAATATTAGATCTCTTATGCCCTACTCAACCTCTCGCTCTGCAACCTTTGCCAGCGATCAAAGTCATCGAATCCTAATTCCTTGTCTCCTAAGGCCCTCCCGTCGATTTCATGTTGGAGCTTTCTATGTCCGAACTCCATGCCAAGTCGGACAGCAAGCATAGCTCACAAGAACTCTAGGATCTCTAGCCATGAATGTTTGCTGTGTCTCTGAGACACGTATACAGGACCCGAGTTGTGGTCATTAAATTTACCTCACCTGGACATAACCCTTAAGTGTATTCGAAAACCCAATGGCTAGCCCTCTAGTCGCTGGTGTACGTATAGCACTGAGCTGCAGGCCGGAAAGTGCGCTTCTCGACCATTAAAGAGCTGTCTTTGTGCTGTTTGACTGAATAGATCCGTAAGAACTAGGAAAGATTGTGAGACCAACCGATGCCTATTCGTGATTTCAGCCAACGCACCCACTGGCTGCAGTTCAGATGATGCAAAAGATGAATTCTTTAAAAAAATGTCAATGTGGCTGCAGAAAAAAAAAACATTGAAATATAATCATAATGGCAGGTGACTAGTGCTCAAATAAGGAAGCTGAGCGAATCGGGAAGGCATTTTGGGATATTTACAGAATCGCCTGCCGACAAACCGACAACGGTGATCGTCTGTTGCAAATTTGTTCCAACAGTCACTTGTTTCTGGCCAGTATTAACTTTAAGCATGAGGAGAGGCACTTTCTCACATGAATTCCGCGGACACCAAACCAACGATGAACACAGATAGATCAAATTACTACCAACCATCGTTGGAGGGAATCATTAGAGGATTCCCACTTTTTCTAGAGTACCATTTTGGACTCTGACCACTCTTTCGTATGTCTGCGTTTAATTGGTTATGAGCTTTATGCTAACCTGGATATCGACAGTGGGATGTGTCATGATATAAAAACTCAGTTGTATAGCTCATAATTCATACGAAATGTGGTATCTGACAACTATCTTATATTCTGTTAACATGGTGTTCTGGAAAAGGAATTTTGTTTAATTGTGCCAACTAAGAAGTCAAACTACTGATATCTTAAAAGATTTTTTGTAACTCTTCATTCTCTAATCAAAATTCATTCTCAAGCAAAGAAAATACCAGAGGGAGACCCTCGAGACATTGGTGATATTTACTGCAAAAAATGTGTGCGCAATTCTAAGCAAGTGACTGTTCATTCATGGTACCAGCATACATGCTCACATTTAATTCCTGATTGTTCTGGACTGGATCACAAAACAAAATGTGAGCAGCAAAAAGAGGGGTATATACTCTAGTTGACCGATGAAAAGACCCCACAAGAAGATCTGAATCTCGCCGATGATGATTTATGTCTGATATCTTGTCGCACAAGCTCGAAGATCTACAGGTGAAAACCAACAAGTTGATAAAAGAGGCGAGGCAACGAACGAAGATGGGACTTCCTTCAAGTGAACGTAGAGAAGACAGAGGTGATGAGGATAGCCAACCAACAACAGCATGAACAACAAGCACTAATCACCATGAACGGGAGAAACCTAAAGGAAGTTGTCTCTTTCACCTACCTACCTACCTATCTACCTAGGGTGGGCAGCATCGTTTCAACTACAGGCGGTGGCGGCACAGATGAGGATGTGAAAACCAGGATCGAAAAGACAGCAAGACAGGCTTTCTTTCATTAATCTGAAATCAGTGTTGAGATCTACTGCACTGCACTGCACAGCATAAAGCGTGAACAAGATCCGGATTTTCAACACTAATGTCAGTCAAGTCAGTGCTTCCATGTGATGCTTGAGAGACTTGGCTCGTCACGAACAGCACTCCCAACAAACTGGAGACATACATCAACAGTTGCCACCTACACTCACTCGATACTGAGGATGAGATGGCCAGAATAATAAGAATAAGCAAGAAGGAACTCACTCTGACCTGGCAACGAACCAACGAAGCAAGAACCTATCGTCCAAAAAATATGCAGGAAGAAGTGATGGACTGTATTGGACATATACTGAGAAGACGGTTTGGAGACATCACGCGTCAGGTCAGGTCGTTGAGTGGAAGCGAAATGGGAAAGGGCTAGTTGAGCTTCTGAACTGAGAGTGACATGGAGGAGATCATGTAAGGAAGAAGTGAAAACTTCTGGGTGATGGAGCCAGATTGGAAAGACTGCAGCAAAGTGAGACGTGCTACTGAATTCTTATGTTCCACTAAGAACCCAAGGGACAAATAATAATAATGTATCCGGCTTTTTTGAAGATTACTTGGCATTTAAAGGTGTTTCAGTAAATTAGTTGTTAGAATTCACTTTTCCGATTGATGCCTTGACCACATCTAATCTTTTTGAAGAAACTGTGAAGTAGATGAAAGTAAACAGACATTAAAATAAAATAAACCTCATTTTCCGAATTTCATAGTCTTAATGCCCAAATATTCTTCAGACCAAGGCTCAAAATAAGGCTGCATCCACAAAGAACGGATTTAGAAACCTTATTTGTTAGTTGTTCTTTCCTAATTTGGTGTTTTTGTTTCGCTGTAGCTTGACACCTCAACGGATACCAAATCCTTGGATTCAACGTTTCTTTGCCTGTCTTAGAGAACGTGGTCTTAATCCATCAGTGCCATTACCAACTTCAACAAACAGCTTAGCTTCTTCACACGTTTGCTTATCACCTGAAATGTTTCCTGGTTTGGAGGAAATCATAACACGGATCAGTCCGGATTCTGAAACCGCATCTGTGGTTGAATCTCGGAATATTCTTCTAAAATCACTTCCATCACTTCGCCAACCCAGTGACTCAGTTGATTTGGTCGAAAAATATGTGGCGAAACGCCGGCGTCTCATGGAAGAGGAGCTTTATGGTTCTTTATTATCCACAAGCAAGACAGGTAGTAATGATAAGCCATTATCAAACTCTAATTCCTGTTCACAAAATGCTTCGATCTCAAATTCCAGTCAGATAAATTCAGTTCATGATTTTGAAGACCTTCTTTCACAACAACAAACTGAACTAGGTATGTTTTCACCAGTATATTCTTCTCATATGATGCACTTTATTAAAACTGTTGTTAAGGTTTTATTTTCCTGTTATTTACCAATTTTTCATATCCAGTCAACTCAACGAGTTGTCGGTCTACCAGGACGATGAGACTCGTTAGACAGAAGCCATCTTGTGGTGATCCAATCAAATCTGCTTATCGCTTGTATCTTCGTCGTTTTCATTGCCGCCACTGACCTTTTTTATCTCGAATTTTGAAGTATTATAATGTTCGGCAATGTCACTTTTCATAGGTTTACACTTGTGTCAAATCCTTAAGGAATTCATGCAAACTGTCTAGTGTAGTTGTTGACTGCCGATAAAGCTACCTACCTGTTGTTTGTTTATCAGACTGTTGATAGCAGTCATCACTGAATATTGTTGTTGAGACCAATAGTCCTAAATCTTTGGATAGTGTAGTTAGAAGACGAAGTTTATTTGAACATTGCGATGTATTTGCGCAATACACCCCTCGAACGATCTGATCATGCACCACTTACTCAGCAAGTCGATTTATATTAAACCGAAGAGTGGGAGGACAAAATAACGATTAAAATTAAATAGGGGATTACAATTAAGAAGGATGAGAACAAACAGGAGGAGTGACATAGTTGATTCTAATCTTCGTAAGGAAATAAAGTTTACCAAGAAAGGTGTAGTGTAGGAATGAATTATCTTTGTATACACAGAGGTGGTTTCAATTTGTCTAGTATGGCTATCGCTTCCGGAAGTCTCTGTATGAGTCCTTGACTGTTTCTATATAGAAGTTGGAAAGCTGTTTGAACAATAAATTGTTGACCTGTTCAGCTATAGATGAAGAGTGTCATCTCCCACCTGCGCTTATCAATTTCTCATGCTCAATTTGTTTTTGAAGCCATTTAGGTATATGTCCTCCCACCATCAACTGGATTGGTCGATTACTGCTCCCTATGTATGTGTGACCACATATACATGTAAAGTTGTAAGCACAAGGGACATGACGTAATCATTGATGCAGTGTTTAGGTTTGTGGTGTATCATGTGCTTTGTTTTTTCCACAATAATAAGGTTAACTGCGCAATATGATGTTAGCCTACGTCTCAAAATTATACAATTCAACTCTTCTCTGTAGACGCTTTTCTTAGGAACCGTATATAGAGTTGGCTTTGATGCTGTATTGCGTAGGATTTTGAAGTCTGTTAGTAGAGCGAGTGGTATATCACTAACTGTGCTGATAAGTGCGGTCATGGGTTGTTATTTGAACTTCTGTAGACGGCTGGCTACAAATATTTTTATCGGTTGACAAGTATCCTCTTCATCCGCACTTTTAAACATGTCTGTCCTCTGGGAAGACAAGAAACAGATGTGTTAAACTGAATGCATGCGCAACTACGAACAAAATTCAACCCTATCTTATTTAGTTTGTGTATTGTGTGAAGAAAATCATGTTAGACATAGTCTTATCAAACATCTTTGCAGTCGTTAATCATTGCGACAATCATGGTATTCTTTATTATGTATTGGTAAACAGCATCATTGTTAATATGCATTTGAAAAGTGTTGTACAACGGGTTTACTGATGCAATGTCACATGCCGAGAATTCTGTACTGCAAACGAAAATTATGGTTCGTAATGAAGCAAATATACTACAAATTGTGTTTATTATAATGTACTCAACTTGTTCTATATCATGTAGCTAAATTCAAAAAATTGTATAAAGTATGGTGATAAGCTTGTTGCCGAGGCTCTCTTCCCACCTGCGCTTATCGAGGTCTCACACCCTTCATCTATAGGTAAACATATTATAGGAACAGGTCAACAATTTATTGTTCAAACAGCTTTCCAACTTCTATATAGAAACAGTCAAGGACTCATACAGAGACTTCCGGAAGCGATAGCCATACTAGACAAATTGAAACCACCTCTGTGTATACAAAGATAATTCATTCCTACACTACACCTTTCTTGGTAAACTTTATTTCCTTACGAAGATTAGAATCAACTATGTCACTCCTCCTGTTTGTTCTCATCCTTCTTAATTGTAATCCCCTATTTGATTTTAATCGTTATTTTGTCCTCCCACTCTTCGGTTTAATATAAATCGACTTGCCGAGTAAGTGGTGTATGATCAGATCGTTCGAGGGGTGTATTGCGCAAATACATCACAATGCTCAGATAAACGTTGTCTTCTATTCGCACTATCTAAATTCATACAAGAAACCAATTGTTTCAAACTCCAGATCCGTTTGACGAAGTTTACTTTCCACTTAATATGTATGCTTATCGCTAGTCAAACTAACGAACAAGATATGGAATGCATACAAGTGAAATTTAATGATATTCCATGTGAATTCTTGCAGTTTTGAAGGGTTGGATACCACGCAATTGTAGACGTAAAATTCATTTCCTCGAGAGCATTCACTAAATAACCCATCAAATATTAAAATATTTGGTTTTCTTATTATTATTTATGTTCATTACTTTATGAGTAAATATTTTCATGGGAATGATAACTGTATACTATTGTCACGGTAGGTGGGGAAACGACCTAACATCAGCTGTAGAATTGTTACTCATTAGTTTAGGGTGTTGACTTTCAACCAGTGGGTCGCGGATTCGAACACCCCTTCACTTACCAAGGTTTGGGAAGCCAGGTAATGTCACTAGCCTTCACACAGAAGTTGTGACTCATTGCCTACTGCACGAATGTACACAAGGCAGCTGAATGCGTTTCGTTCTCAATTGTTCAGTATTATTGGAACCTTGAACTGAAGTATCCAGGCTCCGCCATCTAGCCTAGTTTACACTTGAATGGACATCATTTCAATATTTTCGCACCTGCGATTCGTAGGTAACAGTTATGCTACTAAGATTTTCATACGAGGCTCATGTTTTCCAGTGACGCAAGTTCAGCAACAGGAAGAAATCTAATCCACTGCTACAAAACTAAAAAGCAACTGGCTTCCCCCCCCCCCCCCAAGAAATGTAGCTGAATCAACAAACAAGTTGAACATTTCTGTCTCAGTTAAGTAGATGCCAGTTTATGAGGTTATCGTAAACCACAATTATCTAACTCTTAATAGACTACGTGGAATTTTAAATACAACATAGGCAAGAAATACTGTCGATGTTCGACAATTCGAGTGATAATTCTTCACTCAGAACCACCGAATGAAAGCCACTGAATTAGTGCAACACCATTAGTTTCTAGGACCTCGCCTGGTTAACTAGTTCACTAGCTACTAGCCAGTCCTAAGCCCGGGTAAAGAGGGAGGGTTGGGCATAGGGCTAGCAACCCTACCCCGTAAAACAAATAGAACTTCTAAAGAAACTCCAAAGCACAAACAAAATATAAAAAATAAAAACAAACTTATTCCTCGCTGGAATCGGAGAGGCGAAATGACGCCGGATGGTGAAAGTCTTCGAGAAGCCAATTGGCCGATGTGTCTTCTCTCTCTCAACGAAAGCAAAAGTAAACATGGGGACATAGAATGTCCGCACCATGTTTGAACCTAGTAAAGCTGCCCAGATTGCAAAAGAGTTGAGAAGATATGGCATAGAAGTGCTAGGTGTCTGCGGAAGCAGATGGAATAGATGTAGACTCTCCAAACTGTCAACTGGAGAGTCAATAATCTACTCCGATATTGTCACTTAGACGACAACCATGAGCACACTGAGTTCTCGAGTGGCTAACATGATATCTCCAAGAGCATCGAAGGCTCTCATGCAGTGGGAACCAGTCTCCTCTTGCAGGATCATGACAGCAAGGTTCAACTGGAAAGGAAGGAAAGTCACAATCATGCAATGCTATGCACCTACAAATAATGCAGATGTAGAGAAGAAGGGGGAATTCTACGAACAACTGCAATCAATACTGGACATGACCGCACCCCAGATGGGGATATCAAAATTCTAATGGGTGAGGTGACATGAATGCCAAATTGGGAGCAGACAACACAGGAAGAGAACTAACCATGGGTCGAGAAGCGTTCGGTGAAACGAATGAGAACGGATACCTATTTGCAGACTTCTGTGCATTCAACGATTTCGTGATTGGAGGCAGTGTGTACAAACACAAGGATATTCACAAGGCAGCGAGCGACATGAATTTGATTTCACCAGACACCAGGACACACTACACTACAAATCAGATAGACTTCATCTGAATGTGAAGAAAGTGAAGACGAAGCCTACTGGACACACTGGAGCTGATGTAGGTTCAGACCACTATCTAGTGCAAGGAGCCTTGGAAGAAGTTGGTGATAGACGACCACAGTTGAAGTTGAACACCCAGAACAGAAAGTGAACTGAAGGACGAAACTACAAAGGACATCTTCACGTCAGTTGGTCGTCAGGACAAAATGGGAGACATTGAGCAACATCCCTGAAGGGACCGGCATGGAAGAACACTGGAACTCTTTAAAACAGATATGGAAACGAACCTTTATAACTTTATTAAAAAGGAAGAGGAAACAAGACAAGGAATGGATCTTGACGGACACAGAAGCCGAAAGTGGAGGGAGAGGAAGGTGGTGAAGCGGACGATAAACCTGTGCAAAGATGAACGACGAAAAGAGAAACTGAGTACAACGTATAAAACACTGGACAAAGAAGGGAAGAAGAGTGCGCGCAAAAACAAAAGACAATTCTACGACAAATTGGCAAGTGAAGCAGAACAGGCTGCTTGTAGGAGAGATAGAGACCTGACAACATTATACCAAATAAAGCAGGTTTCTATCCAGGAAGAGATCAACGCAAACGAAACCAATGAAAGATAGTGAGGGAAACCTAGTTACCAAAGAGGAGAAACAAAAGGAAGAATGGCCTGACCGCTTCAAAAAAACTCTTGAATCGACCACCACCTGCAATTCGTCCAGAAATACCACCACCAACGGCATAACTGCCAGTAAACACATGTTCTCCGACAAAAGCAGAAGTCCTGAATTCCATAAAACTGCTAAAATCCGGGAAAGCAGCAGGACAAGATGGAATCCCTTTACAAACACTGAAAACAGACACAGAGACAACAACGGACATACACCACCATTGCAGAAGGTTAGAAAGAAAGGAAAGAAAAGCACTTACAAATTGACTGGAAGAAAGACTACTTTGTCAAACTTCCAAAGAAAGGAGACCTAAACCTTTCAAAGAACTGGCACGGAATCATTCTCCTGTCCACCAAGGGCAAGCAAAATATTCAGCCACATTATCCTGGAGAAACTTAAGGATGCGCTGGATTCAAAATTACAACCGAAACTGGCTGGCTGGCTGGCTTCAGAAAGAAAAAATCATGTACAGATCAAATTGAAACACCACGCATCATCATCGAACAGAGTATACAATGGCAGTCAACTCTCTACCTCAACTTTGAGAAGGCCGTCGACAACGTCGACCGAGAAGTAATTTGTCAGACAGTCGCTTCAACACTGAGAAGTATGACAAATCTTTATCCATTTCATTCAACAGCTATATGAAGACACCACATGCCAAGTGATCCACAATGGAAGCTCAGCTCAGTGACGCCTTTGAAGTGAAGACAGGAGTAAGATAAGACTACCTACTATCACTGATGATCTTCCTGATTGTGGTGGACTGGATCACACAACAAAATGTGAGCAGCAAAAAGAGGGGTATATACTCTAGTTGACCGATGAAAAGACCCCACAAGAAGATCTGAATCTCGCCGATGATGATTTATGTCTGATATCTTGTCGCACAAGCTCGAAGATCTACAGGTGAAAACCAACAAGTTGATAAAAGAGGTGAGGCAATGAACGAAGACGCGACTTCCTTCAAGTGAACGTAGAGAAGACAGAGGTGATGAGGATAGCCAACCAACAACAGCATGAACAACAAGCACTAATCACCATGAACGGGAGAAACCTAAAGGAAGTTGTCTCTTTCACCTACCTACCTACCTATCTACCTACCTACCTAGGGTGGACAGCATCGTTTCAACTACAGACGGTGGCAGCACATACGAGGATGTGAAAACCAGGATCGAAAAGACAGCAAGACAGGCTTTCTTTCATTAATCTGAAATCAGTGTTGAGATCTACTGCACTGCACTGCACTCAGCATAAAGCGTGAACAAGATCCGGATTTTCAACACTAATGTCAGTCAAGTCAGTGCTTCCATGTGATGCTTGAGAGACTTGGCTCGTCACGAACAGCACTCCCAACAAACTGGAGACATACATCAACAGTTGCCACCTACACTCACTCGATACTGAGGATGAGATGGCCAGAATAATAAGAATAAGCAAGAAGGAACTCACTCTGACCTGGCAACGAACCAACGAAGCAAGAACCTATCGTCCAAAAAATATGCAGGAAGAAGTGATGGACTGTATTGGACATATACTGAGAAGACGGTTTGGAGACATCACGCGTCAGGTCAGGTCGTTGAGTGGAAGCGAAATGGGAAAGGGCTAGTTGAGCTTCTGAACTGAGAGTGACATAGAGAAGATCGTGTGACGAAGAAATGGAAGCTTCTGAGCAGTTGTGGAACCAAGTTATAGGGACTGCAGAGAAATGAGTTAGATGGAGACGTGCTACTGAATCCATATGTTCCACTGGGATCCCAAAGGTTAAGTATTAATACTTATAATGATCATCTATACTTCTTTCTCTAACTTCTCCAAAAATGTGTGAATAACAAGGTTTGTCGTCTTGTGGACAAATTGCGCTTGCAGAAACCGGTTTAGAACGTTTTCTTCGGGATTAGAGTGTTAAGTATTCATCCGATTTTTTACAACCAGTACAGACTAATTGACTTCCCGATCGATGGCTGCTTTCTTGACGTGTTGGCCGGGCTTGTATGTCACAATGACCTGCGCGATGGAGGAACGCTTGTCCCCTCGGGGTACTACCATACTGGAAATATCTGTTGGATAGTGGTTTTGGTGTAAATTGCTAGGCTATGGTATGGTTGTTAGGGTAAAGTCGTACTATTGACTGGACGGGAGTGTGACAACAGTAAAGTGTTTCCCTTGGATGTCCAGCTTTGCCACGCTGTTACTGCCTTCCGTATTAGGAACGGATGGTGGGTTAGAAAATGTCGGTCCCGGAAATAGCACATTTCCATCCCTCCACGGCATGCCTATGTCTGCAACAGGTGTTCATGAGCAAAAAACCATATTCGCAAACTTGCGAAAAAGGCCAAATGCGACCGATATCCCTTGACCTCTGCGGTCACGCAAGGTACCTCAAGAATATTTAGCCTTTGATGATGCAGACAGCCGGGAAGTGTCAACCGCTCCCACGCTTCAAGTAGTAAACATGACCCAACCTAATAAAAAATTTCATTGGCGGGATAACAATATAATTGGGGTTGATGAGAGAAGAACTCTCATCAAAGAAGTTTGCATTGCTTTTGCGGTATTCCATCTTATATGCGCGAATGATAACAATTCCAGCGAAACATGTTTGAAGGTGAAAAAAGGGAGTAGTTCTTAAAATTATGGTCATGTATATCTTAAGCTGACTGCTGTTAACAATAACCCACTTTCATGGGATAACTGGAAGTTACTTTTAATCTCCCACATGATTTCATTCGGTACACACCCCAAAAGCAAATCTATTCTATAGTTGACTAAATTTATTATGAGTTAATAGATCACTTACTGAACAGAAAGTGAATATTGTTAATACTAAACTGTTTTATGAAAGCATCTTCGATTCATGGAACGCAATCCGCCAAAATGTAGTTTTTCAAGCTATATATTTTCCGTATCCGCGTTTTTTTCGTAAAGGGGTCTACATTTCACATATCTGACGGAAGTAATGAATGCCACTTAAGTTTCTTTCATTGTTCAATTACCACTTAGTGGGGAATTTTCGTAATTTCCCTATACACCATTTATTCAGTCATAATTCCTCTTATACTTTTACAGTACCACGTTGGTTGATTTTCATTGGATAATCAATTTGCAAATGACTTACTGGTTGTACAATCCACTTTGATATTTTCCACAACTGAGTAGTCGTTTTTCAACTGGCAAGCCGTGATGTCAACAGGGTTTCGGTCGGAAACCACCCAACCAACATTGTATGATGTGATCTTGGACACAAAAATGTCATGAATTAACGATATATACCATATCAGTACATCAAGTCAGAATACTCTAGGATAAAGCGTCGTGATTTCATTTTCAAATCTAATCTGTTGTATGTTTTCGTTACCTGGTAGCTTCATCGTAGTGCAGGAAGATGTTTGTCACTTCGATTCATATAACTAATCGTTTATCTAATTTAGCTTGTAGACTCATGGAAGCGCATATAATTCAGTTGGTCACTGATCCTTTCACCGCAAATTTATTGCGTCCAAAAGCGATTGCTTGTTTATTTGCTTACCGTAAGCATGCTCAGCTGTGTATAGAAGAGAAGAGTAACACCAGTGATATCACTTCTACTGGAACAGATGATAGCTGGACGAATCGTTTTGAAATTGCTCAAGCGTATAACTCTTTTATTCGTCAATGGCGTCAGGACCTTATTGATCGTAATCTTCTCGGGAGTGGTGTCTCATCTACATCCTCTGTATGCGATAATAGATTATCATTTTGGAGGGAGACAATCACTCAAGGTATGCGATTGCATAATGTTTTAGCTGATACATTTTATTTTTGTTTATAAGTTTCCAAGGCATTTCATCGAACTGACAACCACCAACAGTGGGCAGAAAAAATTAATGCCCACTTATACTCATGAGAAGCAATTTATCAATGCTTTTTTTGTCATGTCATCTTTTTCTGCAGGAAACCTTTTCTATTGTGGAAACGGACACTTTTGTTAGTAAAAAGAGTGATCTTCACAACCTCCAAAACCATTTGCTTATGGTTTCGATGTGATAGCTTGTAAATTCCCATTGTTGATTGGACCGAATTAATCGGCCACTTGTAGCATATGGGCTCCTGTGCAGATGCCTTGATATTGCGGGTATTTTCATGAATATCATTTGTTTCTTTTCTGTGTTATTAATTATGGGAGATTAATGGTTTTGTCAGAAGAAACTTGGGTGCTGACAGAGTTGTGAGGGCGGTTGACACTTCCCGGCTGTCCACACCGTGGAAGGCTATTTCTTCTTAAGGTACCTGAAAGAGATTTGTGTGACCGCAGAGCCCATCGGACATCTGCTTGAGGCCTGTCACACCCAGCCTTTTGAGTATGATTATTTTGAATTTTTGTATTTTTGGGGCCGGATGAGCGAAAGGAAACGACAAGTGAACCAACACCGCCGGCCCGGCAGACCGTGGGGCGTGGTGGAGTGTGTTATTTTTGGGGCCGACCTTTTCTAACCCCCCTTCCACTGAGAAGGCAGCATCAGCTTGGCACTGCTGGTCATCCAAGGGAAACACCTTACTGCTGTCACACCCCATCCAGCTAGCAGCAGTACGACTTCGCCCTCAGACCCCCATCATAGTGTAGCAATTTACACTATGACGGTGTAGAGTTTTAGGGAGAAGAGGTAAGTCAGTCGACGAGGTTGTGAACCTTCATCGACTGAGATGGTTGGGACACGTACTACGTATGCCTAGTCACCGATTGCCTCGTCACACAATGTTGGCTGAGGTGGGTTCAGGCTGGAAAAAGGCCCGAGGCGGCCAGACTAAAACATGGCACCAATGTATGAAGTCTCTGACTGTTGGTTTAAGCCATGTAGGACGATGCAGACTAGGTGGTTGGGGTCCACGGGACAAGAGGAACCAGTGGTTGGAGACCCTAGGTGATATGGCTCAGAACCGAAGTCAGTGGCGCAGATGTATACACACATTATCCTCATCTTAACAACGCTATACCGAATCTCACTATTTTGTCACTCCTCTTTCCTTTCTTCTCGTACTTTATATTTCTTTTGACTGCATTCACTTATCTTCATCCTTCACCTCACTACCTTTTTACTTGATGTGCTGATATGAGGTGTGGCAACTCAGACCGTTACGCAGTAATGCCTGGTCCTGTGTTGATAATGATGATGATGAATGGTTTTGTCAAATTAATAATTGTGCATTATCATATCAGATCTTGCTTTTTAATTTTTCTGCTCGTAAGATCTAGCCATTTATTTATTGTTCAAGGTCAGTATTTGTCTGTAGATGTAGGACAGATGAGTGCTGAAGTAACGCTGAGTTTCTCGTTCACACTAAAAGGCGTGAATTCCCTAACTATACATTAGTATGTATGTGATATTTAATGATTATATCTGCCAGTTCACCTGCTTCTGTGTGGCAAGGTATATCGACCACAGCCAGAGATTACTGTCAACATGTATACGAGAACACATTCCAGCCTGGTTTCATTGGGGTGAATGTAAATCCACCAGAAGTTCTATTCTTGAACATATAATCGATTCCAACCATTAGACCGACTCGACACAGTTATTTTGAGGTTATTACTATTTATTGATGTGCTTGTAATTCTCCGTTGTTTTATTGGATTGGATTGTTCGACCTCTATCGGCATATGGGCTCCTATGTGAATGCCTCAATATTGCCTGTATGTTAATTATGGCTATCATGCCTCCGCGGTATAGTGGACAACGCCTTAGTATTGGGTACAAGGTTAGAGTCAGTGGAAATAACATCATTCTACACTGGGGTGCAGGTACATCCAGCCGACGAGTCCCAAATATGACGAAATGCGCGTCCTGGATTTCTCCGCTAGCTACAACCAAGCAACTTACTATTTTAAAGTTGTTTATTGAATTCCCTCAAATACTTCGCGTCTTCTCCGTCATCAACCTCTAGAAATGATAGAGGGCATTGCTTATTGATCAACTGAATCCAAATCTTTGTCTGCGAAAGGAAGTACGTACAGTCTTTGTCTCTACCTTGGTCTTGATTGATTTGCTTCGTTCTTTTTCTACTGACCTCTCCCTTTCTTAGATTAACTTTTGTACTCTTATTTCCTTATTGTCAGTATTGTTTCTATATTTAGTAGTTTCCGTTGTTATATCATTTGATCTTTTTGATAACTGCAACTTTTAATAAACCAGTTTTAAATTTTATTTCAATTAACTTGCCTCACGCATACTGCTTAATGTTGTGATTGCTTATTACCCCTACCATATTTTCACCTTTTTGTAATCTATCTGCACCTTGTGAATAATTTAAAACTCCTCTTATGTGACCACTTTTTGTTGTAAATTTACCTGTACGTCATCAACTAACAGCATTATCATTACTATTTGTCCCTTGGGTTCCTAGTGGAACATATGGATTCAGTAGCACGTCTCCATCTAACTCACTTCTCTGCAGTCCCTATAACTTGGTTCCACAACTGCTCAGAAGCTTTCATTTCTTCGTCACATCATCTCCTTCGTGTCACACTCGGATGCCCAACTCGTCGTTTCCTATTTCGCTTTCACTCGACGACCTGACCTGACACGTGATGCCTCCAAACCGTCTTCTCAGTATATGTCCAATACAATCCATCACTTCTTCCTGAATATTTTTTGGACGATAGGTTCTTGCTTCGTTGGTTCGTTGCCAGGTCAGAGTGAGTTCCTTCTTGCTTATTCTTATTATTCTGGCCATCTCATCCTCAGTATCGAGTGAGTGTAGGTGGCAACTGTTGATGTATGTCTCCAGTTTGTTGGGAGTGCTGTTCGTGACGAGCCAAGTCTCTCAAGCATCACATGGAAGCACTGACTTGACTGACATTAGTGTTGAAAATCCGGATCTTGTTCACGCTTTATGCTGAGTGCAGTGCAGTAGATCTCAACACTGATTTCAGATTAATGAAAGAAAGCCTGTCTTGCTGTCTTTTCGATCCTGGTTTTCACATCCTCGTATGTGCTGCCACCGTCTGTAGTTGAAACGATGCTGTCCACCCTAGGTAGGTAGGTAGATAGGTAGGTAGGTAGGTGAAAGAGACAACTTCCTTTAGGTTTCTCCCGTTCATGGTGATTAGTGCTTGTTGTTCATGCTGTTGTTGGTTGGCTATCCTCATCACCTCTGTCTTCTCTACGTTCACTTGAGGGAGGTCCCATCTTCGTTCGTTGCCTCACCTCTTTTATCAACTTGTTGGTTTTCACCTGTAGATCTTCGAGCTTGTGCGACAAGATATCAGACATAAATCATCATCGGCAAGATTCAAATCTTCTTGTGGGGTCTTTTCATCGGTCAACTAGAGTATATACCCCTCTTTTTGCTGCTCACATTTTGTTGTGTGATCCAGTCCACCACAATCAGGAAGATCATCAGTGATAGTAGGTAGCCTTACCTTACTCCTGTCTTCACTTCAAAGGCGTCACTGAGCTGAGCTTCCATTGTGGATCACCTGGCATGTGGTGTCTTCATATAGCTGTTGAATGAAATGGATAAAGATTTATCATACTTCTCAGTGTTGAAGCGACTGTCTGACAAATTACTTCTTGGTCGACGCTGTCGATGGCCTTCTCAAAGTTGAGGTAGAGAGTTGACTGCCATTCTATACTCTGTTCGATGATGATGCGTGGTGTTTCAATTTGATCTGTACATGATTTTTTCTTTCTGAAGCCAGCCAGACAGCCAGCCAGCCAGCCAGTTTCGGTCGTAATTTTGAATCCAGCGCGTCTTTTGGTCTCCAGAACTAGCAATATTACTATAACTATTTATTTTGTTGTTATACTGTTTGTGGCCCTGTGTTCAAGCCTTAGTGTGAACAATGTTATTCATTGATGGACAGATGCATGCAATTGCCTTGTCTCTTATGGCGTGAAACTCACGTCTTGTTGATGGCTTTGAACTACTGGGTCACAGATTCTAACGCCACTCCAACTACGGAGGTGTTAGAAGCCACGTAGTGTCACTAGCCTTTACATAATAGTTGCGACTGATTGCTTACTGCATGAATCTGCACAAGATGTATGAATGCATACGATTTTAATTTTTTCGTTCATTGTTATTCAAGTCTCGCATTATTTAAACTTAATTTTCTCCATAGGATTGTAGTTTTTAAATATTGTTTATATGCATATGTTGACAAATGCGTATCCCATTTCTATTTACACAGGTTTTGGTCTATTGTGTGATGAGGATGTTCCAGGAATTGGTGTTAGCCAGTCAGAAAATTATACCTTTTTGAATCTACAGGATAATCAATCATGTCCTCATGCTGCTGAGACGACAAACACCTTATCTTTATCGCCTACAAATATGTTCAAAGTTGACCACTTGGTAATTGTCATATCTCTTTTTTTAACTGCACGAAAATGGCCTAGACATGGGTTGTTATCCAGTGTCAGCTACGAGATATTTATTTGTTCCTGTATTAAAGTGTCATTCATAGTTTGAAAGTCCGACAAGCAGATAGATAAAATGAACGTAGATCCTCGCACACATCCGCTCAAGTTGCCATACTTCACAGTAGTACACAAAGAACAAGTGGATAGCATAAGACTGATATCAAAGTAGACAAAGTTGTGTAAGAGAATAAACAACTTGAAGATGACGGTTAGTGTCTAGGAGTGAATAAATCTGCGCCATTGTAACCGATTTCCCAGCCATATCACCAAGACTACTCAACCACTGATTCCTTTCGTCTCAGAAATACCAAGCAGACAGTGTGCAAATCTCCACATAGCTCAGACCGATAGTCAGAGACTTCATCGACTGGTGCGACATCTCGGTCTGACCACCCTGAACCCTCTTCCGAAATAATCCAATTTCTCCCAGTATGGCACGTCGAGGTGGGCGGTGACTCGGTGTGCGCAGCATATGTCGAAGCAGTTTGAGTCGATGAATGTTAACAACCTCATCAATCGACTTGCTTGTCTTGCCCAGTACTCTTCGTCTGACCCCCAACATTCCTCACACAGTGATTCCATGAAACGTAAGTGTTGCTATGACAACATTTGTGATCAAATCCCTGTAACCGCTTCATGTCTTCTACTTCCAACGGCCATGGCTCTCGACCGTACAACAGGACAATGGATTACAGTGCAGTGTATTTGTTCTTTTGATCGATAACCAGATATCTCGCCAGTCTGCAATACAGATGACGCAAGTTGGCGAATGCCAAACGGGCCTTCTCTTTCTGAGCTAACATTTCGTCATCAACCACCTTGTCCTTTCAGATGCAACTCCCCAAGTAAGTGAAGTGGTTGATTTATTTCACCACTTCACACCGTATCATTAAACTGGAAGTAGTTGGAGACTAGTCATACCTGGAGCATCATCTTACATTTGACAGGCGCGAAACCCGTGCCAAACACACTTAGATTTCTGCTCAAGTGGAAAATCTTTTCATTATATTTAGTGATATATAATAACTTCTGTCGACTATTTCCATTCGAATGTAACTCCTACGTATCTTCACGGTTTTCGCTGCTGCTGCTGCCAAAATCCAGAATATTCAGGAAATATCATGGGTAGTGTTATGCTTTGACGTTGTTGATGATTATTTATTGAATATGTTTAATGATTATTCTACTATCGAATTGGTCACTGTTTGCATAGATCAATAGGAATGAAATATGATGTGATTACTTTTATAAGAACAGTTTCCTATCGAGGTTAATTTCTTACTCTCTCATCCTGCTTTGACAATGAAATCAAATTTGTTGCAAAATGTATGGGATAGTCGGTAAAACAGTGTTGTGAATTACTGATAAGAATTTCTTAGATATCTGTGATGTCAGACTGGTATGTATGTTAGATCTGCCTTCTTCTTAGATTATACCTCTGCTTGTGATTCTGTCTTTAAACGCCTTGTATTAAACAAGCTTGACAGAACTCACATTGAATCCTGGATTGCAAACTGTCTCTATTTTTATTTTTCTGTGAGAAGACAGTACACCTTATGCAGAGGGGTAGGACCCTACTTCGCCATTTTAGTGAAGCCGGTGTGTCTGAAAGTGCTGTTCTTTCCTTTTCTCTTCTATTTCTTGCGTGAACTAGGCACCTCAACTAAAGTCAACTTTGTTAAACGTACAAACGTCCTATCGGTATCCATGCCGATCATCTCCTCTTCAGATTAATATCAGTTTATTAGCTTCCAAACTAAAACTGGTCACTGGTCTTCCTTAAATGGTCTCAAACTCAACCCCTCTATATGTCAGATGATTAATTTTTGCTTAAAACGTGAACAAGACTCCTTCAGTTCCATGACTTTTGTATTATCGATGGGTCTGTTGTAGAGAATGTAGCAAGCGTGATCTATCTTGGCTTATGCTTCTCTTCTGTTCTTTCTTGGTCCTCTCATATCTTACTGATTTTCAGCGGAATCATTCGCTTGACATTGTATATAAGGGAACCGAAGTAGTCTGGTATAACTCAGCCTATACTTTGACGTTTCATTAATCCCTGTGTTTTGCCTACACTTACATATTGTTCCTCTTTATTCGTTCATGAACTGCGGGATAGACTACGTATACAACTCAGGATTTTGAAGGCTGTTAGTAGATCGGTGGTGATAAATGCGGTCATGAATAGACATCTGAACTCTTGTAGACAGTTGGCTAAAAATATTTTATCTGATGGGAAGCGTCCTCTGCATCTGCACCTCTCTCCATGTCTATCCTCAGGATAGACAAGAAGCAAATACATTAAGTTGTATGCACTCACAAGTACAAATAAAATTTAAGTATAGCGTGTATATTGTGTGAAGAAAATCTCGTTAGACAGTCTTATCAATCAACTTTGTAGTCATTGAACATTTCAACAATAGTGTTATTTATACTGGGTGATGATGAAAGGTGAGGTGAAAATTCGGACCGCGGTTGGATTCGAACCATCGACCACCGGGTTTCCAGCCCGATGCTCTACCAACTGATTTACGAGCTACGACTATCTCACATAGTCAAATGATAATCAATATGATGTTCTCCGTCTCTAATTCAGTTAGATTTTGATTGAGATGCTAAGTCCTGACTAGGCAGTCAGTGTGAATACGATCAAGCGACAGTAACGCGTCACAAATTCACATGATAGTCAGGCAAAAGCCCATGATGATTTAAGTGAAATAAAAATCTGGTCAGCAGTCGGAAATCGTATCTCAGCGACCATCGAGTTTCTGGTCCGAGTCCGGCCGCAGTCCAAAATTCCATTTCACCTTCAATCATCACGCAGTATAAATACTAGTCTGCCAAACTAAGGATATCTCAAGTAGTCAAATGATAATCATATTATTCTTTATTATGTATTGGTAAACAGCACCATTATTAATATGCATTTGAAAAATGTTGTACAACGGATCTACTGATGCAATATCATATGCTGAGAATTCTGTACTGTAAACAAAATTGTGGTTCGGAATAAAGCAAATATACTCTAATTACTTATTCTACGGATTGATGGCATGAAAGCGGCTGGTTCATTTCTCCCCTCTCTCCCCAATTATCATTCTATTTTACGGTGTATAACATTTAGATGTATACAGAATAAGCAATAGCAGAAGTTGTAAATTTTTTCTTTGATTATATTAATTGCAATAAAAAAAACCCTGTAACTAACCTTCCAAGGTAATTTTTGTTTTCTTTAAAACACAATTAAATTATGTTAAATAACAACCACTGAGATTCTTATTTATTATACTTGTTGATGTGTTAGGCTTGTTACATCATAATGTTTGTAACATAATAATAGTAGTATAAGTGTAAAACTTGAGCACTGTGGTAGAATTTAATTCCATATTAGATTTGTTTATTTAATAGATAGCGCATATTGATATAGTATTATATACTGGATGATGTCTCGAGGATACATTATTGCTCATAATCATATCAATGTAATCACACAACTTTCAATATCTGATTTTTATACTCCTATCACTTCATATTCTTTGTTTTTATTGGTAGTAAAATTTTCCATATCTCTGGTATAGGTGTTGCATCATTCCTGTTACATGTGTTGGGTGTAGTTTGATTAAATGAACAAAGATTCATTAATCAATCCTCATCTCTCTCCACCTAATTATATTAAACTCAAGAACAGTAGTTCTATCTCACCCACTTTATTATGTGGTTGTGTGTTAATGCTCACACTGCACTAGCCGAGCTGTTTTTCATAGATTACCAATCTTGTTGAGGTGTATCATTTTACACTTAATTAAATTTCTAGATTCCGCTAGTCTGACTGACCCCAACTGGCTAGTTTCACCTATGTACTACTTACTCTCTTAGTCATTGCTTGGAATTTGGTAGATTAGATTATTTTGCTTAAATGGATCTATCAAATCGTAAAGCCGATAAAACTTATGTGTGAGTGAGTTTGTAAATTTAACTGCTATTCTAATCCCAGCTTTGTTGAAGATCCTATGTAAAGTTTCTGATATACCTTAGCTATAGGGTAACACAGTGGAAGCTTTAAACTTCTTTCTACTTGTGTTGTCGTTATTATTTTGTTTCCTGTGTGTTCATAAGAATTTCTTAATAAACTGTGAAGGATAATTATTAACTATTAGTGCTTCTTTTATGGGTTTCAGTTCCTTGTTCAGGTCGTTGCACTGACTAGTCAGTTTTCTAGCTCTATCATTTAGACGTTTGACTAAATCTGCCTTAACTGACATCGGAAGAGATGACGTGAAGTCTAGATACCTGTTAGAATGTGTTGGTTCTTTGTAGACAGTAGCATCCAAACCACCGACTGTCCTTCATTTTATCCTGCAGAATTACATATCTTAGATTATTTATTTAATGTAGCACACAGTGATACAGTATTGTTTACTGGAGGACGTTCCGATGTATGATATGAATGTGGGCAGTCAATTCTGCTTGAAACATTATCCAGTAAAATAATACTACACTAGACTAAATAAAAAAATCTAATCTGTAGTCATACTCTACCACAGTGCCAAAGTTTTACTCTTACATTAAAGAATTACAGATGATTATGTTCCTGTGGATAAACATATCAGTTTTAGTTTACAGAGACAGTATGTAACATTGTATTTTTTCTTATTATCATGTTTTCTTTTAGCTGAGTGATGATCTGGAGTGACGCCTTTTTTCCCACCAAGATAACTCTAATCAATCATATTTTCATAACCTTTTTTCTTTCTATCATTATCATCACAAGTCCTATGTATATTTCTCCATTTCGTTTACTGAAAAATAATATACCCACAGTTTGAAGTATGTATATATTCATTTTTGATCAATTGTAATTTATGTTATTGTTAAACAGAGCAGAGCTGATAAACATACTTAGGATAAAACTTTACAGAGTCATTTCCGGTCGAAGGTCAAACTGCATGGGATAAAAAAGTAAAGTGATGCAATGTAGGGGAATCTAGGACACACATTTCTCTCCAAATTTAGGACTCTTCAGCGAGATTTATCTGCACCCCAGTGAGTGATGGTATTCTTACCGAGAGTCGAACGCCACACCCACCGCTTCAAACGCCAAGGTTCTATACATTAGGCTGGTGAGACACGACAGTCACCTCTTGTGCAACAGGTCTTAGTTATTATTATCTACAGATTAAGGACTGATTAGAAAATAAAATGTAGTTACGTCGTTAGGGAGTTATCTAGAATGACCAATTTTTTGTGATGACCACGACGTACGTATTTCCTTTGCATGCACAAATAACGATTTGAAATGGTGGAGAATATTTGTTTAGTCGGCTAAACAACTCTGCTCAGAGAACGCAATACAACCAAGACGATGAGGATTCGAACTACTAATGCTTCGGCTATGTCCAAATCTCCTATTCCTACTCTTTACTTATGGTTTGGCGAAGCTACATACAGATTTGTGAAGGATCTATCAAAAGGAACCAAGTGTTGAGTTGTATTTGCGTTTCATATATGTACGAGACAGTGATACAGCAGTACTTACTGATGATGTTACGAGAAGAATTTACTGCTCACAACCATTGCTTAATGTATAGACGTTGATGAAGATTTTATCGAAAGGGAATTCCTTCTCACTCCACTTTTGTCATTCACATAAAATATACAATTTGGAAAATCAAATTGAGTAATTAGTTCTATGGGATTAGGTTGACAAGAAATCGGGAGCACTGATGAATGTAATGTGTAAATATTCAGCTCTTTCGGTGCATCTGGAGATATTGAAATTAGAAAAGAAATATTCCATAAACTCAGGATCTTCCGTAAGCACGGAAACACAGTTTATCTTCTACACATGCCTAATTATGTCGTAAAGCCTTCAATCTCTTAATCGATATCTTTGTACCTTAGAAGTACACAGAGCAGTGATTTCAGTTCAAGTTTCTTCAGCAGTGTACATGAAAACACTTCAATCTGCCTACTTTAAATTAAATAACCTGACAGAGATCACATCATACTGTTTTGTACTTACTCACACACGACTGAAAATCGACCTAGTGAAATTTCATTGGTCTATTGATTTGGAAAAAAAATATTTGAAACTAGTAAAAATATTTTGACGATTTTGTTTTTTAATAAATTTGTATATATCGTGACAAAAGTTCATAGTTGTGGTAAAAGTCATGGTTGTAGAAACCTGGTCTGATATTTTGAACACCAACCACGAAACTAACAAATGATACTGTGAGGATGGTGGTTATCTAAAAATAATTTACGATTCTTATGAATAACAAGGACAAGCTAATTTTTAAGGAAATAAATCATAATCGAAAAAGATGAGGAATTTCAAGTTAATTAAATTTCACTTTCACAAGTCTATATGAGAATTGAATGAAACTGAACAGGTTGATTTAAAAGTGAAAATTGTTGCGAAACTATTTGAAAAACTGATAAGTTACTCCGTATTTGGTATATCTTTTGAAGAGTATTCTAAAGAACTTGAAACGCTAGCAGTTTGACCAGTGGTTACTGAAGTAGATGTGATTTCTGTGAATGTAAGCTTTTTCTGACAATCATGGTTTTTCCTCTTCCGATTGGTGCAACAATGTCTTTAAAACTTTCTGTCAACCTCATCTAGCAGCCTATTTAAACACAATGTGGTGGCTGTAATGTATACCTTTTCTGAAGAAAATGTTAGTACAACTGCGGATTACATTAACATTTCTGAAATGATTTATATACTACTCAAGTTGCTGTTAGTAGATAGATTTATTTTGAATAGGTTTTTTTGTCTTGTCGAAACGGTTGCTGTGGCACCAGTTCAATTGAAAAATAACCAACGTTTTATCTGACTAATACTGTAAAAAGTGGTGGTGAGCAAATCAACCGTTTTTCATCATGATGGGTTTACGTGGAGGTTTGAACTGTTTGTTATGTTAATTTAGGGAATGGATAGACTTCAAGTTCGTATTTAATCACGAACCGACATCTGTTGCAGAACCGTTGAAAGACTGGGAGCACTGGACAGTTTTTTTTGTCCCAGTACGGGACGCTTCCCACTTAACATCTATGGTCCCATTAAAGATCGAACCTAGAACTATCAGGTCTTGTAGCGACCACGTTAACCATTCAGCCAGTTAGTCGGAGATCAGTCAAACCTCCTAACTGAAATACTCTTCAGTGCTCATTGGCAAAGATCTTCGAGATGAGATTTCTCAAAGTTTATTGAGAAGTCGTAACGTTTGGGGAAAACTAACTCAGGTGGACGACAAATATGCAACGATGGTATTGGATGGAAGTTGCACTAAATCGCGAATTGACAAAAGTAAGAAAATGTGAACCATTAGATTTTGACTCGATGGCTAGATTGTTAAAGTGCTCACCGACAGGTGTGATGTTCATGGGTGTGCACTGTTGAGGAGTCCCGAACTAGGACGAAGCAGCTGTCCAGGCTTCCAGCTGTTCTACAATCTATGCTGTTTCCTGAATGTATGGATGAGAAGCATTAATTTGCATTTTAATAGTTCTTGTAAGCTTCTGAAGTAAATTACTCCTAAACTGAAATGACATATTTGGCCTAATTGTTCAAACCAAACTGAATTTTATTGCCCAGCGTCCAATAAGAATTCCTGGTGGCAACTCAATCGATGATTTTCAGTGCAAGGGCAACTGACTATCCTACGAAGTGGTTGGTGAACGTTAAGAATACACTGAAGATTATTCGGTGATAGAAATATTCGGACAGTTGGCTTGTATTTTGTTCAACGGAATATCATATGTTACAAATCCACATGGTTGACATATTACGTGATGTTATCAATGTCAGAAATTAGCTACGGCCTTAACTCACAACCTAATAAGTCTGTGACAAATCTAAGTCACGCAAACACACAGATGAGCTGCGCTTTAAATTCGTATGAATTCAAGGATTACCTTGTTGCTCAAAGGTATCTTGGGTGCAGCATATGCAACTTCACAATCTCCTAAGTTAGAGCTCAAGGATTCGTGTTCACATTGAGTGAGATTTGACTTTCCGGTTCAGATATTAATTAGTTTGCATTATATGACTGGATGTGATTGCGGTGATGTTAATACTGATCAGCACTGTAGGGAAACTGGGTTAAATTCAGAATTTATCATCACCAAGGTCAACTTATGTCCAGGTATTACTGTGGAAGGGTCCAAGTTGCCACATCTCATAACAGAACATCAGGTAACAAGGCGATAAAATGGAAGATGATGAAAGAAAGAGGAATTGGTCAAAGGAAGTAGAAGTAGGAAGTTGTAAACGAGAAGAATCTGAATATAATGAGATTAAGCTTAGCGGTTAGTGTGACGATAACGCGTGTACGCATCTGTGACACTGACATCGCTTCTGAGCCATATCATTTAGAGTCTCCAACCACTAGTTCCTCTTGTCCCACGGACTCCAACCGACTAGTTCGCATGGATCTACATGGCTCAAACTAACAGTCAGCGACTTCATGCATTGATGCGATGTTTTAGTCTGGCCATCCGGAGGCTTATTCCAGCCCGAACCTACTTCGACAACATTATGTGACGAGGTAGACGGTGGATAAGCATACGTAACGTGTCCCAGCCAGCTATCTCTGTCGATAAAGGTTCACAACCACGTCGACTGTCTTACCTCTCCTGCCTAGAACTCAAAATTCATGATGAATATAAAACAGTTTGATTTTGTCTTCATGAAAATAGACTAGTGTACCTACTTCGTGTATTATATGGGTGAAAGGTACATGGGCCCTCAAAACATGTTGATGTAAGTGAGCTTCAGTCATTTTCTGAATTGAATCATCTGCACCTAGAATTCACTGTAACTAATACTTAAGAATACTGCGGGGAAAAGTAGGATTGTCATTACAGTACGTATATTTCCAGCAATCCTATTAAACAATTCACACAAATTATTAATCACCTAAATTCACATTAGCATAGACTCAGTTGTACCTAAATGATAGTCAATGGGATTATAGTATGAGTCAAAGATTCATAGAACAGCAATAACCATTGCGAATATCATTACGCATAAAAGTTCACGACTTTATCAAGCATAAGCTTATACAATCTTCATATACTTGTGTGTACAGTCACAACTCATAATAGATCAATGGTTACTAAAAAGCTGTGAGTGTTTAGTTATGTGTAGTGCTCCCAATAATTGAGTTACAAGTGTATCACCGCTCCATCTGTCGAGCTTCAGGTAGTCAGGCCTCTAGCGACCAGTTAATAGCACATGTGGATTGTGTTTTTGCCGTAACTATTAACTGTTTGAGTAACAAATAACGCATCACTTATATTGCCCTAAAAGGTAACCAAAGGATAACATCAGTGCAATTATTTCATTACCATAAAGTGGTTAGACAAACGGACAATATCAACTTAGGACCTGACATTGCTTCGTAACGGTTCAAGCTGTTGCATCTCATGAATACATTGAGCTATAATGCACTAAGATGGCAGATAAAGAAATTAAGAGAAATAATAATAATAACGGCCTTATTCTGAAAGTTACTTCAGCATGTCATGTAGCATCAATTGGACAGTCAAAAGGTCAACAAAGAGCAAGAAGTAATGAGAAAACACTGAAGTTCATTTTGACGATTTAGATGAAAACGATGTGTGATCACATCTGTACCGCTGAAATCAGTTCTGATTTATATCATCTAGAGTCTCCAACCTCTG